GATGGGGAGGCAATTGCAGCAGTTCCAGCTCCTGCCTCAACCTGGGCTTAGAGTCAGAGTCACAGCCATTGCTGCTACTCCCTCTAATCCTCCCCCCCACAACTACTCCCCATTGTCTCCTACCCTCAATCACAGCTCCAGCCCCACTCTGGCACTCTCTTGCTTGGCAGCAGCTGTGGCAATACAATGGTGGCAGCAGCCCTGACCCCAGCATGATCAGTGCTGCTTCTGCCACAAGCTGCTCAGATGTGCCAGGGCCACCAGGTGCTCTGTGCCCCAGCCAGAACAGGGTCAGAGCTACAATAGAAGGTAAGCAGGGGAGGGGTAGGGGGCAGGCACAGCAGGACAGGGAGCAGGGGTCAGGCTGCTTGACGGCCCCACGACCTGCCCCCTGCTGCAGTGGTGTCGGGGACAAATTTAAGATGACCCTCCAAAATTTAGATTCCATACATGGAAAACTCTAACAAATGTATACGTTGTCTATATACAGAATCTAATTATTTGGGGGTCATCTGAAATTTCAAGTCGTCTTTGATTTGGGTAAATACAGTGTATGTTTTATTGATGTGTTCATGTAGTAGCAATAAAAAAAAAATCCATTTGAGCATCTTTAAAACACATCTTACCTTTCCAGAAGTCAAAATAAACTTATCAAACACATAATGCATTTCTTCTGTGCAGAGTCTGTCTTCATCCTTAAGGTCACAAACTTCTACCATTGCTTTGCAGTTGAGCGAGGTAGCTGCCGTGCTAGTGCTAGCGCACGTATTCTTCTGTGAACGTTCTGTTACTGAATTCTGTTGACTTTCAGCATCAGAAAATTCATTAATAGAATTTGAGTCATACGACTGATGTTCACTGCAATGACAACGGTGTCTTAACTCATCTTCATTGACACAAATTTGTGAAGTCTCTAGATCATCTTGCTCTTTGAGTAATTTTTGCTTTAATTCACAGCGTTCACTAGGAATAAGGGATACAGTTTCCCCTCTGTCTTCTTCATAATTAGAGCCTAACGCATCTGTTTTATTTGCCAATACATTGTCTTTGTTCTTCGGAATACATTTCTTGGAAACGGATTCCTTTTCATTACATTCAACTTCACTCTCCTGCATGTTACATCCACTTCCTGTGTTCTGTTTTTCTCCAACTTTATCCGCCTGAGGAAGGCAACAATTGGCTACAGTGTCTCCAGATTTTGTAGATTTCTTGTTGCTAATTTTTCCCTTTTCTTTCTTCTTGGTATCTGGTTTGGATTTAGTCCCATCTTTACTTTGTGGACATGCAAAATATTTATATGCTGTCCGGAATCGCTCCAGGATGTACTCAAACACCATCTGGCTATTTAGGCTTCGTGCAACATTTCTCTTTAGTGCAAAAGGATCTAGAAAAAAGATCATTCAAATAGTAATAATTTATTACCCAATTTATATATTTTACTTACTATCTGATAGTCATCTATTTGAACTACACTATTAAATTATTATTGCACTGCATTTTGAATAAGAGCATATTATAGTGCAGTCCAGAACTGTATTTATGCTATGCATTCTCCTCTTCAGCTCCTTGCAGACCTGACTGTTCTCATGAAAAGACTGAAGGACAAAATGGAATAAATATAGCTCAGATACATACTGTTCCTAAGTACCATTTAAGGAACTAGATCCTCTGGGATTCTCTATAGGCGTTCCTGTATAATCACTGTACACCAACAGTGAATGTCTATTATTCACTATAGAGGATAATATTAATTAAAATTGTGGGATATTTCTGCTTTGTTAAAAAGTCACATTATAGTCAACTGATAAACTTGAAATGAAAATAAATATCTATATGTGACAATTAATTTTTATATAATTCTGCCCATGTTTTCTTCTTCACTCAATAGTTATCTTGGAATTTAGTGTTAAAAATTAGCATCTTTAAAAGCAAAGACATATTCACCAAACTGACTCAAAACGTCACTTTGTAGAGCTTTCTATTTTAATCTGAAAGCTACCAGAAAACTAATGTTCACAAATCGAAAGACAACTCATTATTGCTGTAGCTGTACAATTTGACCTGGAAACTTGTACTTCATGTGGGGTTGCTTCTTCCTCTTACATTAACCACAGTAAGCAAACAAGAGATTTTTTAACAAAAAAACCCTTTTCAGTTAAAAATACAACAGCCATATACAATCCCTCCTTCCCCAAATAACCACTATTTAATCACCTCCTGGTCCTCTGTATCCTCTCTTTCTCATAGCTCATTTCTTTATTATACCTTACATACAGGTATAATACAGGCTTCAATTTCCACATACAGGAGCATAGGAAAGTAGGGCTGAAAGGGACATACGGGCGCATCTATACTAGTGGGGACATGCGCTCTGCGGTGCCTCAGAGGCTTTTGAGGCACCGGAAAATGCATGCAGAACATGTGAAAGGGTTCTCCATGGTGCATATTTGCAGTGTGGAAGAAAAAATGATACACCAGGAACTCCCTGTATCCAAAAAATTGCAGCAAAGCAAGGTGTCACACATGGCTGCAGCATGCGTCACACGAAACAGAACCCTGGTCTGGTGCAGCCATGCTCTGGCTGCTGGCCAGGCTCCATGCACCCAGATCGTTCCTGCTGCAACCCCAGGAGGTCCCCAGGATCCCAGGTATGGCTGCTGGGGCCAGCCCAGGTGCTGGCCCCAGCCTCCCGTACCCCACCTGGGACAATCTGCTACATGCAAGGGCATGCCCAGGGACAAGTAGCAGCAACACAAATATGTGCCGCTGGTATCTGTCCCCAGGGAAATGCATGTTTCCGCTTAGGAGGACACGTGCGGTGAGGTCATCTGTCCAGCCCCCTGCTCCCCCTCCCAAGCTCTTTTGCTTGATCACAGCCAATGTAGACCTTTACCCACCTTACCCCTGCTTCCCACATTTTTTTTTTTTTTTTTGCAGGAGGATTTTTTAAAAATATTTTTCTCTCTGGACTTGCTTCTTGCCTCTGAAACATTTCATTTACATTTTTCTCTATTTCCCCTCAGACCTTCCTTCTACTTTTCTTTTTCTTCTGCATCTCCTCATACTTTAAACCTCCTTGAGCAGAGTATTATTAACTACTCATTAAGATTCACTCCTAGGTCCACTCCTATTGGTCTAGGACAATGTCGCTCAAGTTTATGGCTCCACAGTGGATGAGTGATACCAACTCAGTCCAGCTGTACTCTGTGCGGGCCCTGCATGAGCCCAATCCAGCTGTCTCCACCTTGCCATGGCTAGACCAGTCCAATCCAGCTATGTGCCAATTTGATCCAGCACACCTGGATCTGGCTGCATAGTGGTGTGATGTGGCATGCAGGACCACATTATCCAGCCCCTGTCTCCCCTCCAGGTTCCAAAAGTTTGCCACCATGGAGGCAGCAATTAATGCTGCCAATGCCCAAAGCCAAATTTCCAGATCCTTGGGAAGCCCCCTGGATTGGATGACATGGCTGTACAGGCTGGGGTTGAGCATCCCTGATCTAGGAGACTTCATCCACTTAAGTCCATGACCTAATGACTAATATGTTCTACCTTGCAACTTTCAATCAACATCAACTTGTTCAGTCTCGGATTTAGCTAATCGCACCACATCTCAAAACCTTATAAAACCTGAGTTTAATCTTCCCTCCTAACCTTTTTTCAAACCCTCACTTTCGTTCCCATTGACAATCCAAAGTTCTGGTACGTTATATTTTTTGATCTTTCCCAATAAACAATGTTAAAAAAAAAAAGTCCCCCCCGGAAACCCCCCCATTGTTTTTCAACTAGAAATGGACAAAACTTAATTACTTCTCTTTGGCTCTCTCCTATCAATACACTTTAGGCGTCACTCCCAAATTCACTTAACATCACACCTGCCAAATGTGCTCTTTTGGGCAGGAGATTCAGATTTTGGGGCATTTTCTAGGACACAACAATCTTCCCAAGAAGCTACAGGTCAGCTTCCTATTGTGGAAATATGATCTATGAGAGCTTCCAGTCCATTGAATTAGCTCTATTCCTCTGATCAGTGCTCTCCCCTCTGCTCTGCCTAAGTGTCAGAAGCAGGGGAAATAGACTGATGGGATAATCAAAGGCGTTTAAAAGATACAATAGTATGAGAACTGCAGAGGCAACGTTCTCACATTTCCAGAAACAATGGAGAAGAAAAAAATGGATGGAGGCAATACAGATAAAGGGGAATGAAACAAATGGAGATAAGCCAGAAGAGTACATATGAATGTAAAGAAAGGAAGAAAAGGTGGTTAAAAACCAAAGCCAAGTATTTCAGGAGTCAGCATGCCATGCTGCAGTACTTGGTGGTTGACACACTTTCAAGCAGTCCAATTAGCTAGAAAAAGTATTTGTGTTTTCCCCACCATTTGTAACTGATGCAATCCACTGTTGAAAGATCGTGCCAGTGAGATACAAACTAGGTATAGTACAAAGGACAATGCATAATTTCTGCAACCTACCTTCAATGGCTATTCGCCTTTTAGGCCAGTTCTTGTTCTCTCTGGTTAAGAGTTCTTGTACCCGTATACTGATGACATATTCTTCCAAAGCAAATTCCAGTGTGTAAAACTTCAACAGTTCTAACCACAGTTGCCCCAGGGACACCTGGTGGGGTGTTTCAAATACTAAGGGAGACTGAAACAAAGACAAAAATATTTAGTTGCAATAAGACACGGAAATTCCAATATTTTTCTAGTCCTTTTAGATTAAAACTTTAGTGATCACGCAGAATACCAGGTAGGGTCTGCCCTCAGACAGAACGATGACTCACTTTTCCGTGCTTCTCCTTAGCATTACTTTGGTTATCTGCTTCTGAGCCTGAAGCCTTCTTGCTGCCACCTTTTTGCTGCTCAGCTTTAGTCTTGCCTTCAACACCATTTGAGTTTTTCCCTGCTCCATTATTTGGTGGTTTGTATTCCCATCCTACAAACTTCTCTTCTATAACTTTCAACTGGTGATCATCTGGCCTCTTTGAATCAAAGCCTTCAATCTATAAATACAGTTAAAGGGTTTCTGAGACAGGATCAGATGCAGTAAACCATACAGGAGTATATGGCCAGGGTAATCAATGCCATATCAACAGACTGCTGCAGAATTAAAAAGGAAAAACTTTCTTCCTTTCCCAAAGTCCAGCACTGTACAATTACTTAGTGTATTATGAGAGACTTTCACCTCCCCCAGAAATATCAGGCACATATCAACTGTCAGAGAAAAAAAAATATGCACAGTGTTTTTGTTTCTGGGTTGTTGTTTTTTTATGAACTACTAATCCAGTCAGATAAAACAAAATTTGCAATCCTATAAACTACTTATGTACCCCTTAAATTATTGCCAGAGTGGGATTATGTTATTAACCAATAACTTACCCAAGCGCCTAAATAGGATGGTAAGATAGGTGGTTTTCTTTGTTGAAGAAAAAATATCACCATTAGGGCAAAGGAATACGAGGGGATCCCACCTTCTGCCTGGCAGTCAATATGGCACAACTACAAGAAGAGAAGCTATTAGTTTTCTGATAAAATTTACCATATCATTCAATATATCAGATAAATAAACCAATAAAAGGATTCAAAATTATTGTGGAGCATTTGCAAAAGCTGGGCAGAAAGCATTTCATTTTAAAATCTACAGTACACAACATCAGCTGTTCTCTTTTGCTGGTGAGAATTGAAAAGACACAATAAACTTTTATATACATTCTTCCTGCAAGATCTCCTTTTGACTTGCAATGCATTCAGAATGCAGCATCTCACTCCTTCGTTCTCACCTTGCAATTTCCATGTTACTGCATTATTTGGACCATTCTGCTGTGTCTACACTTCAGCCCAGGATAAAATGTAAACACCAATCATTTGTGACAATCTTGGAATTTTACTAGGACTACTGTCTCATATACATGGGGTAGCCAATCTTCCTGCCCAAAGGAGCAGCCTACCAAAATCTTCATGTAGCTAAGAGCTGATTGATAACAAAAACTCCTGCGTTTCCCCAGTGTGTGTCACCCAGCTTTCTACCAGGTGCCACCCTAGATCTGTCTGGGGGCTGCACAAGGCTCATGAGCCACAGCAAGGCTATTCTGTGCATCTGTGGGTCATGTACACCATCCTATCTGGGACCCATGCTTTCTCCCAGGAAGTTTGATGTTGTTCAGTCCTCGCATATATAGGACTTCCTCATATCTGGCAGTAGACTATTCTTCCAGTTGTTCAAGAGACTTATTTTTGTATTTTTTAGAGTCAAAAGGTTCGCTTTTCTAGTTCATATTGCTTTGCTTGTATGTATTCTATGGCACTGGCGTTTCATAAAACAATCTATAACAATACTATATAACGGAATGCGCTTTTTGTTGAACTCAAATCATTTAAAGTCAAGTATTACTTGATACCAACATCAAAACTGAATTACAGAAAGGTTTAATATCTGAAGTGTGCTCAACAGGACTGTTAGAGCTCATTTATTATGATCAACACTCACGTCTCTATAAGATACAGTGTAAAGATGTTGGTGAACTACATGAGCTCATTTTTAAAGCTACCTATAATTTTGATGAGCGGTAGATTTTGCAAAAAATGCATGCTTTCGCTGGAAATTAATTTTGGGAAAGAGGTCACAGAATATGGGTTTACAGGGCACTGTCCCTTTTGACAAATCATTGTTAACAGGACAGCCAGTGTTTCCCAGCTGTTCTGCATCATCATGTTGCAGAGGCTAGAATGCAGCCCAGGACAGAATGGCGGTTTCAGTAGTATGATTTAAAGGTGAGGTTCTCACCCCCACTTCACCTGTTTCCCATAACGCAAAAGAATCAAAGTGGTACAAATGGGCACTAAGTAGGCAGCAATGCCTGCTCTCCTGCCTGCCTGGTGCACCATGATGCTCTGCCTCCCCACTGGACTCTGGCTCAGGACTTTTGACCAACCAGCTGGGACCAGCCTACAGAATCTGGGACTGTCCACCCAAACTGAGACATATGGACACATTGCACAACCACTGGCGGTAATATTTGAACACTCGTGGTGCACGGGCCAGGTCCTGGAGGACTGGAAAAGAGCCAATGTGGTCCCCATTTTCAAGAAGGGGAGGAAGGAGGACCCAGGCAACTATAGACCAGTCAGTCTCACCTCCATCCTAGGCAAAGTCTTTGAAAAAATTATCAAGGCTCACATTTGCGAGAGCCTGGCAGGACAAATTATGCTGAGGGGAAACCAGCACGGGTTCGTAGCAGGTAGATCATGCCTGACTAATCTAGTCTCTTTTTATGACCAGGTTACAAAACGCCTGGACGCAGGAGGAGGGGTGGATGTCGTTTACTTAGACTTCAGGAAGGCCTTCGATACGGTATCCCACACCATACTGGTAAACAAGTTAAGAGGCTGTGACTTGGATGACTACACGGTCCGGTGGGAGGCGAATTGGCTAGAGGGTCGCACCCAGAGAGTCGT